GTGTGTGTATTACAATTTCACTAATTGTATTTTATTTAACTTTTTCGAATTATTTGAATACTATTTGTTGATGATTTTATTAACAACTAATATATATTTATATAAACAATCTTCAGATCATTAATCAAAGTATTCATACTATCGCACAACGCGCGATTTCCATGCTAGTAGTAATAGTAATTAAATATAATATCTATACTATATTATAAAACATTTGACAAAAACTCTTAAAAACAATTCTTTATACATGAAATACTGTTTATTAATGTATATTATTTAAAATTTTAGATTACAAATAAATTATGCTTAAGTACAACTTATTAAAGCTTTATTTTTAAATTCGTATAACTAACTGCAGATAAACATAATCAAATATAGGATAAACATCTCATTTTAAATATAAAAAATCTAAAATATAATTAGGATAATCTTTGAGTTCTAACAGAATCATTATCTTTATAAAAGTTATATAGTCAAGTCCAAAATAAATTACCTCGCTATTAAACCTAAATTAAATTATAATAAAATTAAATTAAAGAAATTGTACAAAAAAGAGCTTTTAAATTATTAATTTGACATTAATATCCATGTACTTTTTCGAATTTTATGATATCTTCAAATTTATTTTTATTCAAAAATAAAAACATTGTCTTTCTTAAAACGAAATAAGCTATATTATATTAACAGAGACAAAAAGTAAAACGAAGCATTAAAATGAATATGTATCTCGTTGCATTACGCAAAAACCCTTCTATTATTATTAAATCAATTTAATATTTTATAATTTTTAAAGATGATACAATTTTCAAACATTTAATATTAATCAAGATTATTAATATTTGTTTGGTAATGAAATCACGTGGATGATGGAGACATTATTGATATAGAAAACAAAAGTAAAGGCATTTTTTTCAAATACCCAACCCCACTCCTCACAAGTCCTTGAGTCAACCCACCAACCATCCTTTTGTAGTTATCTTGGGTTTGAACAAACAGACGACAAAAAAGACTCTGCTTTCGTGATTATTATCTGATAATCGTTGTTGTTTTAAAATCTTCATCTTTTTGTAATTATAAGGTGAGTTTTATTTTTAAAAGCATCATTTGATTTGCTTTTGGTGAAGAGAGTGTATGGTTTCATACTTGAGATTTTGAATATGTTCTATGTTATTTTTAGCATAATTTAATGTTTTGATATGTTATTATCAACTGGTTGGAATAAGGGTAACATGATCAAGAGAGGTGTATTTTTGGATAAGTGTGACATAATCAGGAAAAATGTATTTTGGGATAAGGGTGACAAAATAAGGAGAAATATATACTAAGATAAGTGTGACATAACCAGGAGAGACGTAGTTTGGGATTCGGGTGACATAATCAGAAGAGACGTATACTGGGATAAGTGTGGAAAAAAGCAATTGTATGTAAAAATGGGATTTTGATCATGTGGAAACTGTTATCACATCTCCATGATGCGACGAGTTTGGTTTATCGCATCTTTATGATGCGATGAGTTGGTTTTATCGTATCATTACGATGCGAGCAAAATGTTTTTCACATCCTTGTGACACGAGGAATTTGTGTTATCGCATCACACAAGTGGGGTTATCGCATCAGTGTGATGCGACAAAGTGAAATAGTCGCATCAATATGATGCGAGGAAGTATATTATCGCATCTATATGATGCGCCAAGTTGATAAGTATGATGCGATAAAAATGTGATCGCACCAATGAGATGCAACAAGTTGGTATATTTTATGTTTGTTGCGATAACTTTGGTACTTCAATGAGTTTGATGCGATAAGATGATGTTGTCTCATCTATATGATGCGACAAAGAAGTTTGTTTCAATAAAATATTGTTTATTTGTCATTAATACAAATATGAACTTCCAAAAGTGTTTTGGTGATTTTCACATTGTAATAGCAATCAAAAGAGATTCTCACTAGACCTTATGGTCTAACCCTCATTTTGTTTTAAAAATATGCATTACATGTCGAGCATATATAGTGAGTAATGGAAAGAGAAAGATTTGAAGAAGTTATGATTGCTTTTCATATGTGAATTTTGGGAAGTTGTTGTTATGCATATATTTGAGAACTTGTTATATCTGCAATCATGTACTTGGTGTAAATAAAAAATTTGTAGCTACTTTTGTATATAACATTTTGTATATATTGAGACCAGTGTGTATATTTATATTTCATGTTAAATGGAATATGTGATTTTATGCAAATATGGACTTAAGGTATTACATTTTACCTTGTTTAAATTCAATACAAATAGTTTCTATAAAACCACTTGTACTCATTCATTAAAATATATAATTAATAATAAATATTAACTTTTGAATTACACTATTTTAAGTTTTTTAAAATAATTACGTGAAGACTCTAATACTAATGTGTATATTTACTTTAATAATA